AAGGCCAGGGAAATGCCAAGAGCTCCCCACCCTCATCCCTTAGTAATGTTTGATCTTTTTCTGAGAGTTGCAGCTCCTTGAGCCCTGGGATTCTGGCAGAGCCAAGCCTTTCAGTGTGCTTGGATGGTTTGGGTTTTTAAAGGCCCTTTCTAATCCATCTGTTGTTGACTACATATCTGTAAGCATGTCTTCTTAGACAAATGAAGGCTAAATTTTTATATCATAACCATAAAAGCATATCCCTTATTGGAATTGCAAGTTACTTTTCCCTTGTTTTGTATGAATAACAGTAATAATTCTGTCTAACGATGGCAGTGGTCACAGCAATCCTTATTCAATCTTAGTGAGAGGAAATTTTGCAGTTTCTTTGCATGTAAAACTTCCATTATTTGGATGGGGTTCCTGTGACATAGGTCATTATATCTGTAATATGTATTTATAGTTGTTTAAAGACCGGAATAGTTTATGGAATAAATTCTGATGCGATATAGCCAGGAGCCCTGTGGGTTTTCATTATGCTATTGATTAAAAAGCCCACCACTATGCAGTGAAGATAAGGGAAAGAATTGGAAACTGGGTGAAAATTCCTTTTACTCTGTATAAATAATTTCACATTTGTTTTAAAAAAGGAGTCTTTGCTTATTTTTTTTCTCAAGATAATCTCTGCCTTTGTTTGAAAAAGGTTATTGATTGGATTGTTAACTTAAATAGTCTGTGGCGGGTGTGACAGAGCACATGGCTGCAATTAATCTTGCAATGCAGAATCCATTATTGAAGAAGCACTAATGAGCCGTTCCAAGGCCTTCACTGGTCACAGAGCGCCTGGGAGCAGCAGATTGCTCCTGCCCTTTAATGTCAGTTTTGGTCTTTAGTGTTATACAGCCAGTGTAAGCAGAAGAGGTTTTTAGATTTTTTTTTTTTTGGATATTTTTTTTTTAGGATATTTATGTTTAAATTCTCCTTACCACCAGCCTGCAATTGCACAGGGTGTGGGAGACAAGAAATGGTCTCTGAATGTGCTCGCTCCCCACTCCTCCGACCAGATGTCTGGTGGACATAGTATACAATTAAAGCCAGTGGCATGTGAAACACGGGTGTCACTATAAAATATGGTCTCAGACGCAGGGTTCAGATCCAGAGGAGAGTTTCGACAAAGATGAGGGAGCTTTCAGACCTGATATATACTTTAAAATATTGCTTTAAGACAAAGGGATGAGCTGTTGGAAACCTTCTCATTGCAAGTTTTATTGTCTCTGTTGTTTATAGCTATTGTGGCATAGCAAAAGTTTAGGTAGAGAATAGTTATGGTAGATTAGAAACTGTCGATGTTAACATATCACCTTCTCCTTCAACAGAACTGCTCCCCGGGTGTATTTTAGAGGTCTGTCTATTGACTTCAGTGACACCATAAATACATGTTACTTCTTCCCCCTGTTAGATCTGCGGAGCTGATACAGATATGTGAGAGCGATCCAGGGTTTGCCAGGGCTGAGCCACCACCTGAATTATTAACCGAATTCCAGCTGCAGACTCTTTGCTGCACACCTTCACCATAGCAAACACCATTTATCACATGATTAGTGAAATAAGACTGTTTCTTCATCTTGACCACATAAGGGATGAAATTAAACAAGGAAGATTTTCAGCTCTCTGGCTCATGCGCTACCACAGTGTCTGTAACTTGAACCACATTTTGGACTGCTCTGCTCTTCGTGTAAAACAAAATTGTTTGTGGGCTGAACTAGCCTTTTTTTTTTCTTTTTTTTTTTTTTTAAATGAAGTTTAAATCTACCTATAGCAGCCTGCCATATGCAGCTACAGGGCTTTGTCTTCAGGTGTTTTGCCACAGAGGGAATGCCCAGAAGTGCTGTGATACGGAGCAGGGATGGTGTTCACTAACACCACTCCAGGAAGTCTTGGACATGTGAATTTTCTCATAGGTCATGAAAAACACTGGGTTTTGAACCCAAGTAGCATGAAAATAGAGAGATTGTGAAGAAGGAGAGCAGTGAGGACAGGAAAAAGAATTTTAATGTTTTGAGTATCTACTGACATGCTTGCCATACACTACAGTGCCTCATCACACTGCTGCCATATGTAAAAATAGTCTTTCCGACAACATTAGGTTGGGGTCATGGTACCACAAGGCACGTTGTTTAATGTGAAAGAGGATCTGACTTAGAGGCTGAAGAAAGACATGTCCACAAGATATTCTTTTTCCCTTAGACATGCCATAAGCCCTGGGCTCACAGAGAGCAGTCTGCGGCGATGCAGACATGGCTGTGGGCATTGGTTAGACTCTTTTGTAGTCACAGCATTTGGAGAGAGAGCCCAATGGAGTGAATAAATCGGTGTATTTTTGCAAAATATTTCTGCATCGCTACCAAAAAGAAGGCACCATGGCCCTCCCTCCACTATTAATATTTTCCAAGCAATCCTCAGCTCGCAAGAGCCCATTTCTTTTAGGCCTGTGGTGGGTGTGGTTCTTAAGAAGGGCTCTGCAAAATAGGATGGATCACTTCAAGGATGAGGCACTATCGATACGAGATGCAGCACAAAAAACCTGCAGAGGTGTTTTTGAGGCAAATGAGGAACAAGACAGTCAAGACTGATAGCTGGAAGAGAGCAGGAATGGCTGTGAAGGGACAGAGATAAAGTAGCGAACAGAACCTGACCTTCATGTCATTTGAGAAAGGGAGAGTCTTTAGCTGGAGTCTCTGCAATGAGCAATGTGTGTATGCAGGCAAGTGAGCACGTGAATACGTGTATGCATTTAGCTGTGATGTATTTCTGTAAGTTTGATTCCATTCTTTCTGTTTCTTTTCAAACGTGACTGAAGCTATTTAACTCTCTGATTAACTCACCTCCCTGTTTGAGTTGTTCTCTGTGATATATTCCAGCACTGTACAACCTTTCTGGAAGCCGACTCTCTGCTGTTGGGATGAATTCCTCCCTGATGTGTAGTGTGCCACATTTGTTCCATTTACTGGTGTTGGAATGAGGTTCTGCATTTGCTGTAAATCAGATCTGGAGGAACATTTCAGTGTCATGACAGGTTCTGCTAGTTTGGTAGTATCAGAAATTATATGAGGTCCTCTCAACAAGAAAAGGTATCATGTCACATCTCCTTCTGCACAGTTGCAGTTTCAAGGTCCCCAGAACTTTAGTTTGGACTTGGTTCACTGTAAATCTCAGTAAAATCTGACTCCTGTTCTGTGCTGACATTTCAAGGGCTCCAAAACCCAGTGATCTTCTTAGCCCATCTGAGCTCATCAGTACTGTTGAAACATTCTTTATTCAAAGGCTTAAGAATGATATGAGCAATGTCACTGATCCCTCCTTCCTTAAATATCTCCTTTATTTTCTATTCAATTTCCTTAATAACTTATGTACACACATTTCTTTGCTGGACAGGCTTAGTTTTTGTATCACAACCATACAAATATAACTGGAGAATGAAAATCCTTATTACAGCATTTGGTGGTATCACGGGCACATAAAGGAAATATATTCCCTACAGCATTATTGCCTTACCCAGCAATTCTCAGCAACTGTTTGCTTCACTAGCTAGAAAATATAGAAGCTTCTTGTAGGGTGGCGATGGGTGATGTGACAACACAGCAAAATACCACTGATAGGTCTGGTAATGAAGATAGCACATCTATGCCCACATCTACTATAGCCGTGCCTTTTTTTCTTATTGGAGAAGCAGCCTTTCTTTCTCCACTCTTAAAAATACACTTAGGCTGTTGGAGGTGGAAAAGATTTTTTCCTACCCATTGGCTGTAGTCTAAGAACAGCAGATCGGCTAGAGGTGAAAAAACCCTGCACACCTGAGGTGTAAGTTTCTGGAAGAAGCACGCGGTAGTGCTGGATGTGTGTACGTGTATTTCTTGTTTTTTCTATAGATGAGCAACTGGCTATCCTTGTGTCATTCCCCCCCCGACTATGCACAGCGTTAATGCTTATGTGTGTCAGAGAGGGATGCTAAATACGGGGCTTTCCAAGAAGGCAAGCAGTCGCTTATTGCAGGTGACTTAGGGACTGCCTCAGCCTGATAGGGGTGGTTTGGGAGTACAATACTTTTATTTCAGCGGTATATTTTTCTTGTTTTGTTTTGCAGAAGGAACACTGATCCTACCTTTGGTTTGTTTGTTTGTTTGTATTTTCCCCTCCAGAAAGCCCATTGCTGACCCTGCTACTGTGGTACCGCTGTTTTGCAAAGCTGGAGTCGACACGCATGTAGGGGCGGGGGTTGTAACTCTGGCAATTTGTCCTTCCCGATTAGATGTGACTGTTCTGCTAGCTTTCCCTTCTTTATTCCTTTCATTTAGTTCATTGTGGGAGTTGGCTTGGGGTTTTTTCCTTTCGGTTTCTTGTTTTGATCCTGGAAGGTTAGCTGTGCAATTTGGTTTCTTCTGTGCCAACCAACTTTAGTGGCAGAGCTCTTAAAAAAATTAAAAGCTGTATCCCTCCATCCTGTCTTGCTTCTTCTCTGTACGCTACTGCTTCCATTTAAGCAAAGTTTACAGAATTGCTTCACCCATTTGGACATCAGGAAGGGAAGCTCTGAAATGGAGAATAACCTCATTTCCACCAGGTCCTTCAGTCCGGTTGAAACAACGCTAATTGAAACTGTAGTCCAATTTCTATTAGGATGGATGGGCTCTCTCTGAAATTGGGTTTGTGTCTGATTTCATCCTATCTCTTGTTTTCTTTCCAAAAAAGCCCCACAAAAACCAAACCCAAAGCCAAACCATTTTTAAGAGCTCTGAATAAAACTGCTTTGCCAATGGGGAATGGGTGGGGATGACTCTGATTTTCTCTTGTGCCCGGCAGCGAAAGGGTTAATGCCTGCTTTCCTCTTTGGTATCTGTTAGTTGCAGCCCATGTTGTGATCAGTCCATGTCCATGTGCATTTTGTTCCCAAATTTAATACCGGTTAATTAACGAGTGATAAGTGAGCCTTAACAATGACAGTTGTTTCCGATCTTCCTCAGGACACCCGACCTGCCTGCAGTTCACCACAAACATGACTGAGGCTGTTAAAACCTATCAGTGGCAGTGCATTGAGTGCAAATCCTGCAGCCTTTGTGGGACCTCTGAGAACGATGTGAGTTCATTTACCTTTTCCTGCAAATAAGCATCACTGCAAGCTACTGTCACAGCCGCCCTTGAGGAGCACGTGGCGATGGTGTGGGTCGTGGCTTTATTGCTGCTTCCATACGTCTCTGAGGAAGAGCCACTCCTGGGAGTAGAGATGGGCTTCTCCACAGGGCCCGCTTTCAGCCGTCGGTCTCTGCTGAAATTACCACGGGTATCATATAGGGCCACTTCAGATGGTGATACCTGTGGTTTGTATGCTTATTCAATAGAAATTAGCTGGAGGCCTTAAACTCCTGTTGCAGGGAGCTGCAAGAGAGTAGTATTTTCAATAGGGCAGTCAGGAGCAGATGTGAATGGGTGATAACCCAAGGGATGGCAAGTATGTTTCTTCTGTCCTGATTTTGCTTACTTTCTTGGCATGTGTTTTTAGTCTTAATTACAAGACTGGGGAAACATGAAAGCATTTGAAGTGGGATTGCTAGGCCTCTCTCTAGTCACCTTATCACCCATCCCAGTGATTTCCAAACTGTGATCCAGAGCCTGCAGCTGAACAGTGTCCTCTCTGCAGGGTTTTTGGTTAAAATCTGACGTTAAGGGTCCTTGGTGATAAACTGCGAGAAGCTCGGAGGGATGACAGTGGCTGGAGAGCTTTGGAGGCAATTAGCTAACACTACATTCCCCATAGCAGAATAAATTTAAAGCCTGAGATTTTGTTTTGCTTTAGCAGTAAATAAGGAAATCTGAAAGCAGGGAGCTGTTCTGTGTTAGGAATCATGGGATACTTCAGAGCAGCTTTTTTGCCCCCAAATGTATGGAAGAGCTGCAGACCACATGGTGGGATCATATCGTTTCCATCTGTTTCACAGAGCATTAACTCGGCTGAGTTTCGGAGAACTGGCTAAGCCCAGGCTTTTGACAAGAAAGGTTTCCCCTGCAGGGATGAGATCCAGCACTTGGTCACACTGGAGCCCAGTAAAGCCTGTCCTCTTCTCTCAGTACAGCCTATCCCCGGCCTAACAGCTTTTACTCCTGCATCATGAGGCCACCTTGGAGAGGAAGTCCTCCACATCTCAGAGACATTTTCCAGTTAGAAACTGAACTGCCTTTGTGATGAGAAGGGCTCTCTGCAGCCTCTCACAAATGTGGTGGTCGATCGTGGATGCGCAGATGTGATGCCTGTAGCCTTTTACGTTCCCAATAGTCTCTTAGTCTCTATGTTGCAGCTCTGCGTTCCTAGCTGAGCACTGCTGGTTACCATGCTTATGTTTTCCTCTTGGCAAGAGACTAATTTACTTCATTTTCTCTCTCCTCCTCTCCCTGTCTCCCTGTTTCCCTACTGTCTCCCCAACAACCCTGCCTCAGGACCAGCTGCTCTTCTGTGATGACTGTGACCGTGGCTATCACATGTATTGCTTGAATCCACCAGTCTTTGAGCCCCCAGAAGGTAACATATGTTGGAAGTCTGCTTTGAAAATCACAATAAATTCCTTGTGGAGAAGGGAAGAATTTCAGAAAGGTGGCCTGGGCCATGCAGGGTTAAGGAAGCAGTAGCAAAGCAGAGGCAGGAAGCACTGGAAAGAAAGAAAATTCATAGACGTGGAGGTCTAGTGCGATCTGAGATGTCCTATTCAATCTTGCCTGGTCTCTACGTCCTCTTCCAGGACATGGCTCTTTTGTGAGTCGTGGGTACCTTTGAATATCCCAGATGGCATTGGACACCTCAGTTTAGTCAACTGAATTGAGCTCCTGTGAACTGTGACTTTGGACTTCCTAAGAAGTCAAAGTCCCAGAGAGAAAGCCCCAGACAGGGAGGTCCTCTCTGGAATAGCAGAGAGTCTGTTGTCAGGAGACTGGATTAGGAGGAATGACCTTCCTTCTTCTCTGGTCTGTCTGTGCCTCAGAAGGGTGAGAGTTTTACTGTCTGTATTACATTTGGTGTGTAGTTATGTCGTCTGCAGAGGATTCAATCTGACTATACTACAACTGGTTGTAGTTTGTCACTTGGTCGTGGAGCAGAGGAACTAGTCCTTCACCATTATTGATTCTCTGACTAAAATCTGCAGAGAGCAGTAGAATTGGAGAAGGAGACATGCGAGTACAAATGACTGCGGTTTATATGAGGGGCGAGACAAGAAGAATTACAAATCAATCATGCATTCAGGAGCTAAATGTTTGTAACTTTGATAAAGAGGAAACTAAATCAGGAGGGGAAAATTTTGAAATGCAGGTAATAATTAGCTAAAGATTTCTGTTTGACTGGGAAGTGGTGTATTGCAAGTATGAAAATATAAAACACGTAGTGGCAATGCACACCCCAGCTGTGTTGTAATTTGTGTAGAAAGCCTTCGTATGCAATACCAAGGGCAGCAGAGCCTGCTTCAGAAAAATACAGGCAATTCCCGTGTTAGAAATATTTGATATCCTGTTCAAGCCAATCTTGACATAAACTCTGAATGCCTGGATTTGATGTCATGCCTATAAGAAGGATTTCTTCATTTGCAGGGAGCTGGAGTTGTCATTTGTGCCGGGAGCTGCTCAGAGAGAGAGCATCAGCTTTTGGCTTCCAGGCCTGAGGAGCTCCAGCAGTCAAGAAACACTTTGCTCCTGGTGTTGCCATACCAGCACACAATTCCCATCCAGAACACAAAGACACAACCCACATCAAAACGAACGGACACTCAAATACAGGAAGAGGTATCTGTGGTATTCACTGTCACTAATGCCATACCTCCTGGGCTCTACTAGAAGGATCACGTACTTTCCCAATGCTCCGGATGAAATCTCTTCACTGCTATGCATGGTTGCTGCTTACCATTAAGGGCTCACATGCTTTATAGAAGGGGGAGGGTTGTTATATCGACATGGAGAAGTCAATTTTGTGTGGCCCTGTGTTTTCTGTTTCGCCTTCTTTTTAAAGAAGTAAGATATCTCCCAGGGAATTATTGGTGAGTACTTCGGCTGGGAGCAGCACCAGTTGTTTCTCTTCACAGGCATGACTGGAAATGTCTTTACTGCAACCACTCTGTATTTGCAGGGGGGCTTTGCGAGTTGCATTAGTTCAATACTTCCCAGGTCATCAACAACGTGTTGTCACTGAGAGAAGCACTGATCAAAATTTTTTTGGGGTGACACTTTCTCCCTTGGATCAAGTGCTTTGATTTGGCAGCTCTTTAGAAATCTGGTTTTAGTATCTCTGAAGGAAGAACAGTACCAGTATGTGTACACACACACACGCTTAGAAAAGCCTACCGTCTTTGGTAATTCAGGATATTCAGGCACACGGTCCCACTGTAGTGCCAGCATACAGTCCAGACTCATTTTATTTTTGTTCAGAAAATCGCAAATGGTTATATATGTAACTGACTTGCTGTTTAGCTCAGAAAACTGATCAAAAGAAAAACATCATCTTAAGTTGACCATAGAAAGTGAAATTGTCAGTTTTCTGAGCAATCTAAAGTAAGCTGCAAAAAGGAACAACTTTGGCTTAGGGTCAAATGAAGCACTTTTGATTATTTTTTTTAAATTTCTAAACTAAAATTTTCTGCAACTTAAAGTTGCATTTTATTCCAGGAATTGCCTAATCAGGACTTCCAGCATTTCCAAAGTGTTACTGTTTTTTATCAAAGCAATTATCAAGATCTAGCTGAATTTTCAAATAATTTTTCCCCCAAATTCTCTACAACCACATTTTTGGCAAACATGATAATTTGTCAGAAAACGTTCCCCAGTTCTATAGGAGGGAATAATTTGCTGAACCTAATATGAAAAGAAAGATTTTCATAATGATTTTAAAATTTAAATAGAAATAGTTGTACTTTATTTAAACAAACCTCTACATGTGAAATGAAGAAACATTAAGCAAGAGCATCAATTGAAAAAATATTATTACAGTTGAGTCTCTTTGAATAATTTAAGACATCACTAGGAGGACAAGTGAGTACATTAAAGAATTTCTACCAGATACATCTTTAAGGTTAAAAACCTGCAACTCCCCGAACTGCCAAGTAGCCCAGAAAGACCATTTTCTTGGGTATGATGTATGTTACTTTTTATGCATAGATTTAAGTGGGTTTATAATATAAATTTATGAAAGTCCCAAGCAGCATGTGACTCGAGTTGCTTGTACAAGTAGGTAAAGACACTGAAGATTATATTTGGCATATTTATATTGGTTGAAACTGTTCTGCAAAATTAAATGTCCCCGAACACTTGAAAGGACATTGTGAAAGAATATTGGTGAGCTAATTTTTCTTCCTTCTCCTGCTAATTACACTTAGTTAGAATGACCTATACTGACCTAATGCACTTTCCCTCATTATTTAGGTAGTTTCTTCACCTTTTGCATTTTGTTCGGCTTGCACGCCAAAAGTAGCCGTGTCAGCTGCTGGATTCTCCCACATACTCTTGCACCCTCTTCTCAGGCTGCAGCAGGAGTATTTTAACCTGCTAGAAAAAGATTTAGAAAGTATTTTTCCTAGTCATATTGGACCAAATCTCTCCTGGAGCAGCTGCACTGGCTACCTGTGAAATTCATTCAATACCTTATGCTTTCCATGTGACAGCCCCTCAGACAAGCAGAGAGTACAAAGAAATTTGAGCATCAGGTGCGGGGAGGGTAAAGCGGGAGCCCGTGGACCTGCGTTAGGTGTCTGGTACCCGTTGGGACAAAGCTCTAGAAAAAATGTAAAATGAAGGGTCTTCCTCCCACTCTGGAACTGCCCTGGCCCTGGGGAGCACTTGGGGGCCACAGCTCATCCGCATGAGCATTTGCACCCACCTGTTGGTGTGGTCGAACCCTGCTGACCTGGCGCTTCGGGACCATCTCATGGTTCAGGCCGCTACAAAGTCCTGTTGCTGCTGTGGCCAGGAATGCAAGTATATATTCACCAGAGACACCGCTGGGCTCTCATGTGGAAAGCGAGTGTTTTAGCTAGAGGGGCTGGAGCTGAGAACCGCGTGCGCTGGAGGAAAGTTTTATGGTGGTGCTGGTGGTGGGAGCAGCAGAGGTGGGTTAGTGTTTGGGCTGGTGCTCAGCTACCAGTCCTGCTGGGCTTAGGGAGCTCCGTCATAAAAATGGCCATCGCCTTCCAGTTTCCTGGTATTTGCGTTGGCCTTGGGAAAGGAGTAGGACAATGTCTGCATTATCAGATGGAGAGGAAAATGCATATTGTTTTAGCGTGCGTATTAAGCAGACAGTGGTGGGTCATCGTGAAAGTCTCAGGTAGCCCTGTAGGTGGGACCAGCTGGTGCAGAAAGTAGTGCTCTCCAGCCCTGTGACAGAGACATTGCTAAATGAGCTGTCCTCTGCACGCACACCTGCTTTTCTGTTTTGTGGTTTGATCCATAGCGCTGACTGTTTTCTCCTCCCACAACCACTCTGCAGTGAACAGTGTCTTTCATGTTTGGAAATATTCCTCAGTGGCCTTGCTGAAGTTTCATCACTAATGAGGTATGACGGAAGCAGAGAGTGCTAGATCTTCAATGGCAAAATGTTGTTTGCCATTTGAGATCAGTATAATAGGGTACTTACCCACGGTGGTCCGGCTGCATTTCGTCTCTCCAGCTTTGTGCTATGTCGCTGTGTAGCCAGGCAGCTCCAGGTGACTTTGGCAGCAGATGAGATGCAAGCTCTCCCACATTGACATCTTCCTCCAGCTACAGTCTCCCTTCTTCACTAGCTCGCTCTAGGACAAGGGGCTGGGACGGACCTCTCAGTGACGTTTTAGCATGCGTTCAGAGTCATATGTCTCAGTGCACTTCAGAAATATTAATTGATCCACCAAGCGAACAATGCTGTACCCGCTTTACCAAGATGTGGAGAGGTTGTGGCACAGCCGTGGGGGTGAGGCATAGGAGTTTAGAAACTCTGATAACTGATTCCCTGTCTCCTGGTACTCCCAGGGGACAGCCTTCCTGCAAGACCGCTGGGATGAACGACACCATCCACTCTCAGGCAAGTCTTGAGACCGCTCGTAGCAGTGATCTGGTCTGGGCAGTAAACAACGTGAGGACTCTGGCTCTGGATGCTCCTTTCTCCCTTGCTGTGGCAGGACGTGCAAGTTGGGTGGCAGCCCCTGAGGTGATCAAACTCTGGCGTATTTCAAAACTCTTCTGAGTAGGCAAGGCAAGTCATATTTTAGCACAAATCAGGGCAAACTACCATGGGAGATGGTAGATCCTGCGTCCCTTGAAGTCTTCAAATCAAGAATGGGCAGCTTCCTAGAAGATGTGTTTTAATTAAACACAATCTTAATTAATCACAGGAACGTCTGACTGAAAAAGGCTTGTGTTATAGAGGAAGTCAGGCTGGATGATGTAATTGTTCTTCCTGTCCTTATTATAAAAACAGATGTTTACTGTGGGACAGGATGTATTTAAATACAAGCTGCGTCTGCATAATGGCCTTCAAGTATGTTAGTTTAAATGTATTCGTGTGCTCCTTCTCATTTTTAACCCATTTTGGCTAACCTAAAAAAGGTCAGTTATAGTAATTGCCTTTACTGATGCAGTAAATTGTGCATTACCTCCTTCACGCCCATGATGGCAGCTACATTGGTGTTAGCTACCTCAGGCTGTTCCTGAGTTTGAACGATTCAGACTATATTGTGGGAAACCACGGCTTGGTTCTGGCTTTCCCTCCATCATGTTTGTGTGTTGTGTTGCCCAGTTTTCTGCCCCGTGGTGGGAAGGCTGGCTGGGGAGGGGACCTGCTGCCGTGGCAGCCTCAGAAAGCAGAGGGGTGGAGAAACGGCCATAAAAAAGGGGTGCATCCAAGTCGTACCGCTGAGGAGGCGAGCTCATGTTACCATCACAGAGCCTCTCCTGTAGCTCAGAAAAGGCAATACCTTTACAGAACGTGAGATGGGTCCCATTCTGCCTCCAAACTGTACTTCCATAGATGTGCCTTTGGACAGAGTTTACAGCATTTCTGTAAAGTTACCTTAGGCCAGTTCCTGAGCTAGGAAAGCTGCTAAGTGTGTTATTTTGAAGCAAATGTTGCTGTGAATAACTTTGAAATGATTATTTCTCAGCTTTATTTAAAAGGAGCTTAGTACATTCTGCCCCAAAGGAAGACTCTCCTGCAGTGTGCAGTGTTATGGGGCTGTTGCATGTTCTTTGCACCTACAGCATGTGTTTTGACAGGGGTCATTTGGGAGGTAAGGAGTGGATGGGGGTAGAAAAGAATATTAATTAAGCTTGTCACTGCTGGAGGGATAGTGTGCATTGTGTGCAAGGAAAATTCCAGGTAGAGCTGGGCATGATTTTTCTGTGTGGAATAAATTTATTTTTAAAAAATGTGGTTTTGAGAGAACCACAATTATTCACATATCCAAGTTCAATCTGGCAAATTATTTCATACAAAAAATATGGGGGGAATATTGGAAGAGCTGAAAATGCTTGTTTCAATCTTTTTAGAATGCGTCACTTCAATATTTGAATTTTGAAGTTAATTTAATCTCAAAATTAAAAAATTAAACAGCCTTCATTTGACATAAAACATCTAACGTGAGGGTCAAAAGTATTTCAGGTCTATCATCTGAATTGAAATTTTCCAAATTTTCTGATTTAGTGTCATATCCACCACTGTGTATCTGGTTAATTCAGTTCCAGCATGGCAAGCAATTGCATTAGAGACAACTTTACAGTATCTACTTAAAAGAAAGTTAGAAGCTATGGAGGAATAGGAATCTTTAACAGGATGCAGCTGGTTCATCTATAAGTAAAAGAAGATAAATAAAATGGAGAAAAATGTATCTTGAATGCTAGAAGCACTTTCTTAGAGTGACACGTCTTGGTTGATCTCACTTGTCTGTCTGTCTATCTAATCAGTTGGAGATGCTAACTGTTAGTCTATAAAACTGTCTTTCATAGCAGAAGGGGGAAATGCTTTATGTTTTCCTGATATACAAAAAAACTGGACAAAGCAAAAGAGACTATATTGGGAACAATTTGGCACTGCTCTGGGAGGGCAGAAAATGCAAATCTTATGGAGGAGATGATTAAAAGATGGATTGTCATGTCAGTTTTGTTATGGGAGCCTGCAGGTTGGACAAGAGGAGGTCCTCACCTGAAATGTTAACAGTTGACCAGATCTATATTTTTTGTGAAAATAAGTTCTGGGGAGAGGAGCAGGCAGGCGGGGCAGGAAAGCCCACTTCTCTAGCCAGTTCTGCATTTGTTATGATCTTAGCGTCTCATACTTTTGCATTATATAGTACATGGCAGGATAAGGGACGTATATGTTAATTTTCTTTAGGCAGCTGGGCAGGGTGACCAGCACTGCCAGGGCAGGAGCAGGCGGGTGCTGTCCCTCTCCTGCCCCAGCC